TATGATCATTATCAAATTTTAAAAACTTGTTTCACTAAAAAACACAAAACATTGACAAAATGACCATTGAGATAGAAGACAGAGCCGTTGGAATGTTGATATCTGGACCATCCTTGCACAACGTTTTACGCACTTTTATCTGAGTGTTTGATTGCCCTAGATATTACTTTTAAAAATTAACAACCAATATCAAAACCCATTGAACACATTTTGTGCGCCATTTTTCATCGCCAATTTATCACAGTTTGAAAGTTTCGGACAAAATTTAACCAAACCGGAAGTGACCTTGATCTTTGTCTTAGGCCAAATTTTCGCATCAAACCAAGTTAAAAGAGTTTTAAATTGTCTAAGACAATCTCAGAAACATGAAAACAAACAATTTTAATTGCATGAAAATGATAAGGAATCGGTGCTCGTGATAGTCTAATATCAGCTAGACCAGTCTGAATCATTCTAAGATCGGTGCACGTACGTGCTAAACATCCTAGGATATTAACCTAAAGGCATCTTAGTGATGATGCACTGCCAGATTCCCGGAACTGAATCTCATTGAACACATTTGGGATTTTTATAAGGAATGTAAATGCCCCCCCCCCCCCCCTTCCACAAAATTTTTGGAAAGATCTATGCAGTAAGTGTGGCAGCAGATGGGTCAATTTCCTATTCAGGGTACATGGTATCCAACAGTAAAGATTGTCCTGCAGTAATTAGAGCGAGAAGTGATCTTACTCCATAGAGATTTTTTGTGTGAATTTTCATTTTGAGGGTACATCATTTCCTTGACACTTTGCTCAAAATTCAGATGAGATATTCACATAAAATTTATGCAACATCGAACTTAAATATACATCATTAACCTTGAATTAAAGAAATTATTTATTGTATGCATTTGTTCTTTAAAACTTAAAAAAATGTTAGGTGAACACTTAGAAGTTTGGTTCAGTGTCGAGAACAATGACATATATGACTCTATGGGATTTCAAAATATAATCAAATATATGTTTAGGTTAGGTTTTGATCTTTTCTCTGATATTAAAAAAATTAAAAAATTAAAACACAGAAATATTTTTGCAGAGTACTGAATGGTGCATACATTATCACTTTATGTGAAATGTAAAAAATGTAATGCCTTTGTCCGATATCCTGTAACGAGCAATTTTGCACTGATCTTGGCAGCAGATACAATATGATATTAAGTCATTATTGTAGCATTTATAGCATATAACAGTAATTTGTCCATGTCGCTCATTCCGACCTCTGTGTTTGTTTTGGCTACAATTGCAAGTTTTATTGTAATTTCCTTTCAAATATGTCTATCAAAGATAACCCAACATTTAAACTTCTAAAGAAAGAACACCAAAAATCAATTGAAACTGAACACCGGGTCTCCAATTTACAGACCTACTTAGAGTGTGACATTATACCGAAAGGCTTTCAGATAAATGTTACACCTAACATAGGGCCAATCTCCAAACGCTTTCAGGAACGCTGGGACGTTATTACAAGGAGGTGTTCTAAACAATTGATGTCACTCTGTCTTTCTTGGGCTATCCACAAGTTAGGACAATTGAAGAGTGAGATCAAGTCCTTAGAATCATCCCTCAACGATATCATGTCCCAGGCCGATCTTGATGAAGCCCATAATATTGTAGACACCTATAATATGGCCCTAACAAATAAAGTCAACAAGACTCAAAAAAAGAAATTTCTCCGCGACAGTGTTCCACAGTCCAGGAACAACTGGTCAGAGGTCAGAGTTAACAAAACACGCAAACCCCGCTCGAGATGCTTAAAACGTATTAAGACAATCGCGAGGGACGGACCCATACAAACTCCTGACGTCTGCCCAGTGCTCAATACATCTAGTGCTCCTCTCTCCGAATCGGAGACCTCACTTCTTTCCAAGGGGCTAAATTTCTGCCCCACGCCACATGAGGTCGACGAAAAACAAGTCAGAGAGGACACCCGAGCATTCTTCCGGAGACTTCGTTTGAAGGAGCACTTCTCTAGAAAAGACTCCGAAGTAAATTCATACAACTCTTCCAAGCCAGATTTACACGATCTAGAGGAACACAAACTCTATAAGCCCAAGAGTGACTGGGAACCTGCACCGGGCAAGTGCGGCGCGCTAGAGTCGTATATTGACGCCGTTGAGTCAGACATAGAGAAGCTCCTTTCAATGCCAGACAAGGCTCCGGACAATTTGAGTAAGGAAGAGAGATCTGCCTTACAATCATTAAAAAATCGGGATGACATTGTAATCAAGAAAGCAGACAAAGGTTCTACAGTTGTAGTAATGGATAAAGAGACTTACATGGCGGAGGCCCAAAGACAACTCTCAGACGAACGTTTCTATAAGAAACTGGACTCTGACCCTACTAAAGAATTCTCCAGCGCCATTACCAAAACTCTTGACGATATGTTTGAGAAAAATGAGATTGGTATCAACGTCTATGAGACCTTAAATCCTATTGACTGTAGACCAGGACAATTCTGTCTGCTTCCTAAAATACACAAAGAAGGCATGCCAGGTCGCCCCATAGTCAGCGCAATTGGACACCCCACGGAGAAAATTTCTGAATTCATTGATTTACATCTCCGTCCACACGTAGAGAATTTGCCATCCTATCTCAAGGACACCACGGACTACATTAACAAGACGCCCTCTACTGACCTATCAGATCATACCCTCCTCGTGACTATGGACGTCACATCTTTGTACACCAATATTCCGCACGATGAGGGTATCGAAGCCTGTAGAGAAGTCTGGGATAGTAGATCCATACAAATTCCTTCTACCGAGTCCCTTGCTAAGCTCCTTGAACATGTTCTCAAGTTCAACAACTTCATGTTTAATGGAGAACATAACCTGCAGGTTAATGGCACTGCTATGGGTACGAAAATGGCACCGTCTTATGCCAATGTCTTCATGGGCAGACTGGAACGCAACATGTTACTTCAAGCACCATTTAGGCCCCATAGCTGGTTGCGTTTCATTGACGATATAGAGATGAAGTGGGTGGAATGTCGCGAGAGCCTCGAGGCATTCATTACGTTTGCCAACACCTTTCATCAGTCGATCAAATTTACAGTAGATATATCTAATTCGAAAAACGTATTCCTAGATACTACATCTACCCTGATTGATGGTGAAATCGAATTCAGTCTCCACACCAAACCCACAGACTCCCACCTATATCTTATGCCCAATAGCTGTCATCCCCCACACACTTTCAAGGGAGTGCCTAAGGGTCTAGCCACCAGAATTCGACGCATCTGTTCGTCCCCTGCCTTATATCAGGAGCAAAGTGGTCTTCTTAAGTCCCAATTATGCAAAAGAGGCTACAATGCCCGCAGCGTACAAACAGCTATTGATGAGATGGCGGAACATGACACGCAAAACCTATTACGCTACAAGGAAAAAGACAATAGTGACAGGGTCCCTCTGGTAACCACATACCATCCCATCCTTAAGAACCTTAGCGGTATCCTTCAAAAGTACCTACCAATTCTCCATTCAAACAAACGGATGGCAGAGGTCTTTAAGGAACCCCCACTGGCTGCATACAGACGCCCAAGGAACCTAAAGAACATGGTAGTAAGAACCAGACTGGACAACCCATTACCTAACGGGGGCTTTAAAACTTGCTCTGACAGAAGATGTCTTCTTTGTAAGCACAGCACTGACACAGATAGTTTTAACAGCCCTGTTACAGGCCGTAGCTACAAAATACTAGGAAATTTGTCCTGTCATACTGACAACTGCATTTATCTTATCAGTTGCAATGTTTGCTCCAAACAGTATATTGGTGAAACAGGAGATCTCCGCAGGAGAGTCAATAACCACCGTTCGACCATTAGGACCAAAAAACTCAATGAACCCGTTGGGGAACATTTCAACCTTGAGGGTCACAAATGGGAGGACATGACAGTAGTGGTGATTGACCATAACCCAAGATGGACAGATGCTCAGAGGAAAAGCAAAGAAAAGTTCTGGATGCACAGATTGAAGTCATTCCGCCCTAATGGTATTAACAAATTGAATGACTTCACCAGAATGAACGTAAACTAGACCCAATTCCTGATCATACTAAACAAGATTATTCTCTCAATTTAGTGTAAACTCTACAGTTAATTTGCGTCACCAACTCTCGAACAACCCACATAACTATGTATTGCTTACGCCTTTGTTAATTATTTTTTTCCCGATAATAAGTCCTTAAATATTTCAAAATTTATAATTGATCATAATTCATATGTTTAAATATCCCTACTATATGATTTTTCTTTCATTATTCTTTATTAAGTAAAGTTACGCCATTTTGAGAGAATGAAACAATGTACGATTTACTGATTGCCGTAATTAATTAGCATAATTAATTCGTTCAATTATGTAAATCGCACATCACCCGAGTATACCCGATAGACCGGACGCATTTCATAGCGGTCCGGATTTTTTTCTTTGTTAATGTTCTTAAAAATTTCCAATTCAACATGTAATTAAGTATGTAAATATCTAGTGTTTAGTAGTTTAGTAGTAGTGCTAGTTGATTTTGTTTCTCTTTTTCCTTTGTTCTTATGACTTTTTAACTTTTTTCTTTGTCCTGAGGAAGGGACAGGGCGTCCCGAAAATTTGACAATTTTTATTGTTCGTGTCGTTGGTCATTTTTAGTGCTTTATATATATATATATATATATATATATATATATATATATATATATATATATATATATATATATATATGCCTGATTAACTCAGGAATAGATTACAATTAAACTGGAGAAAGTACTTTTCTAATTATTAAATGTGTAAAATAATTGAAAACAGAACTGCGCCATACAATTTCCTATTTTTTAATATGGATGAAAACTAGGTAATCCACTGTCTTTTCAGAAAGTTTTAAAGAAAATTAATCTTAATTAACGCAAGATAACGCCTGTTAATTGTTTACATACACCAATAAAAGCCTGTATGAAAAATGACACAAAAATCTTTTTCTTATTTATTCGTAGAAAAGTTACATAATTAATGAATTAAGAGTCTCAAATGTGCATAGTTCTTCTAGAATTAAGTGTTTTGGGCACAATCATTTACATGTATGTTATTTCAAAGTTCTCAGAACGAATTAAATAAAGCGATATATTTAAACATTTTCAGTTTGCAGTTTTAATAATTTTGTTAACGGTATAAATATGGTATTGCTATGACTGTAATGTTTTCCCTTATTCAACAGGCAGACATGCCGACAAAGTAAGAGGAATACTAGTATACTCATATCATCTCATCTTATGATAAAATATAAATATAATGTGCAAATATAATTATACAATTAAATACAACAGGTAAATGTTACCATTAATTATATGTGGCAAGATTGTATGTATGAAAATATACAAACGAATTTATATGTATATCTACTAAACACAAAGTTCACTTTCATTCGGTTCAGGGGAGTAAAAACCTAATTCCTGTTACTCCACACGGTTCTATTCATTTTAAAATTATCCTGAAGTAAAGAATGGTGACCACTTAATGAAAGGGAAAAAAGATTTCTTCCACTCCGAGAGATCCATAAAGGGTAATGAAGAACACTTCACACGGGGATTTCTGTTAAAAAAAGAGTAAAAGGTAACATTTTATTAAGAATATATACAAGATAAAATAGATAAGATAAATAAAAAAAAAAAAAAAAGAACATATACAAGAAATTTCATAAAATACATTTAAAACTTTTGTAGCATAATTGGATTAAAGGATACTGTGTGTAAAGAAAAGTGAGAATAATTAAACACTGTCGATCTAAAAAAAAATGCAATCAATATCACTTGTTAACAGTGCATAAAACAATGATTCTTGGAATTTCCAGGGTTCTGATCAACTGCTAAGAATAAGGATCCGCTTTCGACCATTAACATTCTCTAGAGAACTTTAATATTTAAACAAATATCTAACAATTGGTGTAAAATTTATTTCAAATGTTGAAATATGTTCCAATGATGAAATTCCCCGCTTATAAGATTATTCAATGATCGTAAAATTGATGAAATAATGATTCACATTGAGGATATTCAATTTACTATAAAGTAAAATTAACTGCCAGTATAGCTCAAGAAATACCAAATAAGCATTTTTTAAGTTTCTCAGGTATAATTATTTCTAGGTTGTAACTTTTATCTCTTCTTTTCAAAATGTTACATATGTTTATATGTATTATCTTGGAAAATTTATCAAAATAAGAAACTGATTTATGTTATAGTTAATTATTTTTTTTTACAAACGACCCTGTTCTGTAAATGAGCGACAAGATTGATATTGAAAAGATCAAAGTACATTAATTGTGAAGTAAAATCCTCGTCTGATACTTACTTTGGTCCTACGAGGTTGAAAACTTCTTTCTGAATTTCATCCAGATTCAGCGCCTCGCAAAGAATCTTTGAAAACGTCATTTTTCTTATTTCTCTTAACTGACCTGTTAAAAACCATGGTCCTATTATATTTACAACTGAAGATGCACCATGACATTTTCGTCACTTAATTTTCAATTATTTTTTTTTGTAAGTAAATAAGCAAAACACGAAAAACATTTTAGAACATGATAACTTCAATATTTTAAATTTTATTAATGATAGTGGTTAAAGTTGAAAAACTGAATTTCAGACGTTAATACAGGTTTTCTCCTACTTGAATTTAGCACATTATCAAATCATTCCATCTGTTCAATTACCAGTATTTCATTGTACATCCGAGTGAATGTAACCTTTAAGAGTTCAGTGGATAAATGCATCCAGAATATTAAAGTCCAAAAGAGAAAATCGAATGGTATCCGTTTGTTAGGAGTAAATCTTTTCCAGTCTTACAGTATCTAATCCCTATTCCAAAATAAAAGACTTGTATTTACCTCTAGAGAATCCCTCTATCCCCTTCGTTTCGTACCAATATCTGTCCCCAAACCTTAGTTCCTTGAACTGCCATCCTAATAAACATTCAAAAAGCGGACCTACTACTGCGTCTGCTCGTGGTGTTTCTGAAATACCTCCAACAAAGACATCAATGTCGTCAACGTGGCTAAAAAATGAAACACCATTTATCTACATTTTTTGATCTGATATCTTTTGGTTGTATAGAAATATCTCTGTGTTTATTTTGTTAGAAATCGTTGCTTTATTTGATGTTCTAACTCAGATATTTTCGTGTACTCTTACACTAAACAAATGAATTTGACAGCTGAATATCGTTTTAAATATAAGCATACTTACTCATATACATCTTGCAATCTTGCAATTGCGTCGGAGTTATGATCTTGTAATTCGGAAAAAGTTGTAGCTACCGGAAGTTTACACAACTTCCTCCACTCGTTGTAGGTGGGCAAACCGTGATCCCGCCCTCTTTGAATGTTGAATGACATTAGGTCAAAGGTAACGCCATTAACATCAGGAAATAATTCATTTCTAGCAGCATTTTCAATTTGTCTGAAATAGTTAAGAAAATCAGTTGACGCTAAATGTCATGCTTTGGCTTATCCTTGATTATTTTTTCAAACTTATGAAGAATTTTGAATTCATATAAAGGATATGCTGAGTCAAATGTCACATCAAACTTTTTCATCTATGTATCTATTTATTTTTTATATATGATATATATCTCAATAATTTCAAACATTTTGGTTGTATAATTGTTGAATTTAATCTATTTATGCTAATCATCTAAAATAGAGTGAAAGTGAAATAGAGTAATGTACCTATCAACTTTTCTTGCAGGGGTGCCCAATAAAAACCGCGCTAAATCTGGAATGTTTTGACCTTGTTGTGTAACAACAATATGAGGGTCCATGAAGACATCTTCCGATTTAAATACTCTAGATGTTGCAAACATTCTCGTCATATAGCCTAGCTCTGGAGGAATCTGGAAAATGTGAAATTGCTTTGCAATCAATGTTCAATTTCTTTCCTCATCTTTAAAATTATTTTTTGAAAGAAATAGCATTGCGAAAAGGTAGGGTAAAAGAATAAGACGTCTTTAAGAAACTTAAAATTAGGAACTCTACATCATTTGAGGGGGATATGTAAAAACGTTTATGCATATTGTTCTCTAAGGAAAAAGTCAACTGCAACTCTAAGTTACCTGTGAGTGTCCATATCGAAGTGCTGCAGTAGCAATGACGTTCTTAACAGTGGGGTTCACCTTTGGGTTATATTTGTTCCAATAACCTTTTCTTCGAAGGTTCAGACAAAATTTCTTACGAGTGTCTTTCCCTAAAATGGCGGGAAGGAATTCCCCATACGTCACTTGCTGCATAATGGCGCCCATAATCTTCTTGGTTTCCAAAAACACATCTTGACTAGATAGTCCAGTAATTTGTCGTATTTCCTTTGCAATGATATTGTGAAGTCGAAGAAATACAACATGGAGGCCACCCAAAGAGGGGAATTCATTCGATCTTTCGTCGCCTACAATTTATGTATTTAGTTACTAGATAGTAACATTTAAGTTATATCGTGTCATATAAGAAAGTAAGAGCTCTACCCTATTCCTGTTGGCGTTCAGTGTACAAATATAATAATAGTTAATTGTATTTGAGTAGAACTGAAAATCAAACTACACAATCAGTAAAAATTTTTTGTTTAAAATTTAATAGCCATTCTCTGTAACCACTTGAACTTCGTTGCCACGCATGGTCACCGATTTTGATGAAACTTCACCATTGCTTAGTACTTGACACCAGAAACAAACATCAATCAAAGTTTCGTTGCTATGTGTCTGTCTCGGTTGCTATGGCCACAGCCGGAAAAGTTTGAAAAATCGAGATTTTCAGCCACTCTAAATCTTGACTCTGGCTTAATAAAAACTAGAAAAAGCAAACAAACCATTCTCACAAAAACATGACACCTTGATGTCACTTATACTGTAAAGAAACTGTTTAGAATATATCTTTAAGTAAGTGGTTACCAAGGGTACATTTGGAATACATTTAAAATGCTGAAATATGCTGAAAAACACTCCGTATTCACTAATGGTAGGTGTTACATGCTTTAAACTCAATCAACGACTTAAGAAAAACAATGAAAAAGTTTGACCTTAAGTATATAAGTATAAGCAATATTATTCTATTCATAACTTTTATGGTTGCCATGGTAACACAGTGTAACCATGCAAAACCAGTAACTAAGATTGGGTTAATGCTACTGTCTTGAGGAAAAACATGAAAATTCAAGACTGGCAAATATGCATCCTTAGGACCTAGCAACACCAAAACCATAAGAAAGATTCGGTATAATTGATACTTTGTAGTGTTACCATGGAAACAAAGTACCAGTGCTTAAAAGTGAATTATTTTTCGCTGCATTAAGAATTGAATTGCCATTTAATCAAGAAACAAATTAAAGGGCTCAGCTTGAATATACTTATCTGTTAGAACTGAAGTTGAATATCATATATTGATAAAATTTGATGAATAAAACAACACTGTTGCTATGGTAACCAAGAAGGGAAAATGATCGATTTTATGAACTTTATATCAATATTAAACCCAGTGTGCCAACTTCTTGCATCCACTTAGAGATTGGATGATAGTCAAAATTAAAAATCAAGTTAGCTGTTAATGAATATCAATCATAAAAGTTTTGGGAATCTACGTTTAAGGGTACGTATCCAAGGAAAGAAAATATTTTTCAGGTTTTTAAGCATATATTTTCTGCTTATTTCCATAGCAACACTCTATTTAAAGAATCTAATCTGAATTTTTTCAAATGGGAAAACTTGGACCACACCAACATCTTATAAAATTGATCATTAGTTAGGAGGAGATGTGCTTTTTTTAAAAGATAGGATCAGATTTAAAACATACATCGTGTTACTTTGAAGGCTCTCTGTGGTATAAAAACCTTGGCAACCATTGCCAACCAAAATGAAATATCATTTTTTGTTCCTGGTATATGTTTAAAGGCTCTTTTTTCTATTATTTGGTCAGATTTTATCCTATAATTGCTTTTTATTTTTACGTGTATGACTTTATAAAATTCAATGAATATTTTTTTTAACTTTTGAATACTTTGTTACCATAGTGACATATGTAATAGTTAATTTACCAAACATGTTTATCATGCATTTGAGACATCTGACCTTCAGCTTTTGGAAACAGTCATTGCCAATTGTTTGCTTTGCCGCAAATGTTAACTATGGGGCTGTAAACATGTTAAAAAATGCCATTTTTCGAACTTTAAGACATGTTGCCATGGTAACTATAAAACATAGCAACCAATTTTTGCCTGATTTCAGTTCAGGGTATCAATGGCTTTTATCATAGAGAGTTTGGAGAAATTCTGAGACTATGCGTGCCACAGCTCCTATATAAAATTCAAATCATTACAGAGAATGGCTCTTAAGATGCATCACACATTTTCCTGGTTTATGATGACTCTATTGAGTATCAGCCACTTTGAAACTGAACAAAAGAACACTTTTAAATCTATTACCAGCGAGTTGGCAGAAATCTTCAGGTTCAGATGTCTGACAAACTCCTCCTGGGGGAAGCATGTCACCTGATGACGTCCTCAGGGTTCCTGTTAAAAGAAAATGAAGTCATATAGTTGTTACATTTCAAAGATATATAGAGGATATTTATATTGTGATGTTCTAAATGTATTTGATATTGACTTTATCCAACGAGCTGAAATGATGCATATATTCGCAAGCCTTCCCGAGCGAATATACACCATTCGACGAGTAAGATACAGCAAATATCAAGTCACACAATTATAGATTGATGTTCTACTGGACTTTTGCAAAGACACTGACTTTTACAGTTGACAGCTTACTTGGACATTTAAACCTGCGTCATGTACGGAGGTACAAAATTGAAAATAGATAAGAAAACATCCATTGAGGGGAAAGTAATGGTATTAAGGCTTTTGGAATTATTTACCAAACAAAAAATATAATTGGTGGTAGAATAAAATAGATTTAGATACCTTGTTCACGAGAATTAGTTTATCCTATTTCAATAACTTTAGAGATTAAATTAAAAAGAAGACATATTTCGGTAGGAAAACTCGGCAGGAGTTAGACAAGACTGGAATGGAGGGTGTTGAGGGTAGGAAAGTTGCCGTTTTCTTCCTAGACAACGTAAAATGGTCTTTAAAAGAGTCCGTTACTATTGGTTTGTTAAATTTTAAGATTAATATTTTTTCACAAAAGAGCTAGCGTATAGCTTCCAGGAGTAAAAGTAAGCTGTCGATTGTAAAAGACAGCGCTTCTCGCAAAAGTCCATTTTTCGTTTTAATAAAACTTTGAGACTTCGCCTGCAAAATTATATGAATGATTGCTAATTCAAATTGATGACGCATAACTTGATTACGTATCGCCATTCATGCTGACATGCCTCGAAAAAAAGTAGCTCGTATTCAAAATTTAGAATTTTGCTATCTAGGTCTTTGAAACATTTGACAATTGCTGGAGCTTTACATCAAACGAACTTCTGACTGAAAGTTGTAAAGACCATGGGAACGTGAAAATTAACTCTTTGTACGATGGCAGTACAAAACGTGCTAGGTAAGGCTTCTTGTAGATTCATTGTTGATCCATGGTAAGTTACAACCCCATTAATAGGTAGGCATACGTAGTCTAATATAAGTAAGTAATAAGTAAGTATTATTGAAGATGTTGAAGGATTCTTATAACAATAAGTTAATTGCTAGGCTTTACTTTTTCCGAAAACGATTCAATCGGGGGGGGGGGGGGTTATATCTGCCTACAAGTAGCAAATACAGATTCTTGATAAAATAAAACACTTCTTTTATATATACGATTATTATTTTTTTTTTTTTTTTTTTGCTTTTAACGATATTATTGCTCTTTATCATTCATTTTATGAGGGTAATAATTTTCACAAATAAAAGTCTCATAAAAAAAAATCTTGAAGCGAGGGGTCTTGTCAAATCCGGAAGTGCTATTGATAAAGCATCTACGCGTGGATAAAGCATAAGTTTATTCGATGGGCAGTATCCCTCACACGTACGAGATAAAATTATCTGTCTTTTGGGGGATATACTGCCCAAAAGATTGATACTTATAGTTTCAGTTTAAAGGTCGAAGACACTGTTCAATTCACATCATACCAACACGTCCATTGAGATTTTCGTTAAAACGTTTAGAGTCACCATATAACATTCCTGCATCAATAAAGGAAGATAACCGGTTTACTTGTTGTCTTGGACCTAGAATAAATAGAGAAACAATGCTATTTAACAAAGGTTTCAGAAAAGTATATATTGACTCCATACAATTATGTACGACAACTTTTGAATTTTTTCATTATTATTATTATTATTTTATAGGTTATACGGCTAAATCGGCCATTCTTTTTTATTTCTTTTTTAGATTAGACGATTTCTTTAATATCAATACCTATGCTGCAGCCTTCTTCAGGCGGAGTCGGTATTGATCGAGAGAAATCCATACATGTTCTTCCTGGAAATCGAGGATCGTTTGTTGGGATTTCTATAGTAAAACACTCAGGGCTACAAAAGATAATATCACACTTTAACATTGAAATATCAAAGAAGCACGATCATTATAAGAATTATCTACCCGTTTTGTTTTTCAAAATCCGGATGTTGATGGAGGTGTAAACATGCATTTTCATAGCTTAATCTAATCTAGATTTAAAAATATATTGCAAATCATGTTTACTACTTTTATAAAAAGAGAAGTGTTAATCATTGCGTCTTGAACGTAAGCACTTAGAATTTAGGATGCCTGTTTTTCTGTAAAAGAACTATTATGGCAATGTTCTCTTTCTTTTCATTGTTCTTGAAGGTAATTTTATATTTGGTCAATATTTTATTTACAGAATATATTAATAAGTGACGAATCAACTTACTCCGATGCATCTAATCCACAACAATCAAGAATATCACCATTTCTACCTATACATTGTTCACAAAAATAAAACAAACAAGTTATTACAAAATCTAAAATCTTCCTCTGAGGGTGAAGAAAATGTTAAATGGAAAGATATTCCATCATGGTGAATACTTGTCAATAATTTTAATTTAGGCATTATTTAATTCTAATTTGATCTTATACTGAGAACAGTATACAGTTAAAGTATATCATTGAGGGAGTTAGCAAGATTCCAGTTCCCCAAGACCAGGTCTAGTTCCCGAGGCGCAGTGTGCCGAGGGAAATAGTCCTGGTCCAGGGGAACTGGAATCTTGCTAACTTCCTCAATGATATACTATAACTGTTTTATTATACCGATACAAATTCAAATTGGAAAGATTACCTTTGAAAATAATCATTAACAGATTAACTAATCATTATTCGTCGCAAATAACAAAAGTAGAAGACAGTTATTCCCTAATTCTAATAATCATTGCATTTTGTTTGTTGTTTACGTCTTACTTTGTTGCGGTTTGTTATATGAAATACGTCACGAAGCATTGTGTATTTGCGTCGCTCCATTATGACGTCACAATGAAGTGCTACAACTGCGAATTAGCACGACTAGCTTTCGACTGAGGGATTAGCTAAAAAAAAAAACTAACGCACGGGGATTAGTCGATTCAGAGCGATTTCTAGGATATTTTTCAGATTTAATCACTTGAATTTATATAAGGAAAAATCAGTAGAGGTATAATAATCTGAGATAACATTTCATACATAACAAAATTATGATTAAGTTAGAAGAACGGTAAATTTGTGAAATTAAAAGAATTAATTGTTTCAATATTTACCAACAACAATAGGAGTAAAGGTCAGGCCATGGTCTATAAATTGGCCGAAAGTGAACAACATCAAATTCCGCTTGTCGTCTGCCGGGGTTGTCATGTCTCCTCCTAAAACTGTGTTACTAATCTGTCCTGGACTTGGGAGTTCGCCTTCATTTCGACCTCGTTGACGCGGACTGTTATAGCCTATTCAAAATCAAACTTTAGCTATGGGTAGCATGTCAATCCATAAATTCAATAAAAAAAAATACTATTTTCTATAAGAAAGGTCAGTTTGATGGTTCTGTATTTCATATATTATAATTAAAGTTTTGTCTCACCAAACGATGTTCTGTTTTTATTATAAATTTGATTAGAAAATGTTATCAAATTAATTTCTTACCATCATCGTAAACAGGATGTAAATATCGCGCATGCGCCTGTAGTGCCACACCCCATGTTGGATTTCGAAGGTTGTTGCACAAGCCGTCAGCACTTCGGTATCTTGAATACTTATATTTTTTACAAGAGGTGGTGATTGAATCACACAATTGAGTCCGGAGAGATCTCTGATATTCATCGCTGCTCTCTAGATCTCCAAAGGATTTTCCAGATCTGAATTACAATGTATTTTGTTTGACTTGCATGTTTTATTACATACTCCGTACATGTACATTATTAAAGATGGAAGCGAGAGATGTCTTTGTGATACCAAAGGAAACGCAATAATCATTTAACAATGGTTACATACACATATATTGGAATTTAAATTAGTAGAATTGCATATTTGGCTATCATTTAATTATTTATGGTATCATATATAATCTTTGTCGTAGTTAACAGCTTAATACAAACATTAAACTGTACAATTTAAAATCCCCCAACAACTTACAGTGTAAGTAGTTATGCTGTACTATAAGCTGTAAATTACGGTACTGTACTTTAAGTAAAGTCATTTACATTGCTTACTAAGGAATAAGTATCAGAAATCATAATGATTTGAATTTAGAGATCATAACTCATCAAATATGTCAAGGACTGAAGTGCCAGCATTTTTGCAAACCCTATATACGAGATAGGGCTATCAACAAGTTCGGGGACTAGTGCCACAAAATTAAAACCGCATTAGGTACATGAATAAATTTTTAAATATCTAATAAGCATCATCTTTTCTACCTATATAATAAACCACTATTCATAAATTTTATTTTTTAATAAATTAGTGAAGTTTTTGCAAGCAATGATACGTCCAGGTGGCGCAACCTCGAAAACGACGTTTTTTTCGACGTAAGTTTAACTGAGAAAAACTATTTTGATATGAATATTTTATATCCAGTGATCCAGTTGAATTAAGGCATGTGTGATGGGACACTATTCTTCCATAAAATATGGAATTTTTACTCCGTTCTGGAAGTTCTATGAAATTTTATCGTAAATTTTACATGGAGTATTCAAACAAATAAGGCATTGAAAATGTCGTCAAAGGGGAGAGGGGTTTTCTTTTCTAATATTCTATAAAGTTTTAACACAGGAAAAACTGGTATACAACTAGGAAATGTTTAAACTGGCTATGCATCCACATTCCTTGTTTTCTAATACCGCTATAGATTCAGAGAGAAAAGGGATGTACAGTTAATTTCAATTTGTAGTCAAGGGTTGAAAAATCAATCACGTCATATAATGACGTTGATCATGTGTTTAGCCATATTGAACTCCAAAAAACAAAATATGCTGGCACAATCAAGTGAGGATCTCTCCCAATGTATAAATCCATTTTCAATAATATATGCATTGACAGCCGCTGTTCATGACATTGTAAATTCATATAAAAAAAGACGGATTGAAGTACTTACTCAGCTTTAGAGAATCTCATCAAAAGAAGTGTACGAGGTAGAAGAAGCAGACATTGAAATAAAACAATCATTCTGAGAGTATTGCATAAGCAATACATGTCCCCTACCGGGTTCCCCTAATTCTTCAGGATGTCATTTTATGATATGCAAAAGTTATGTCCAAGGTAAAACTGCTTGATTTTTAGGTTGTGAATGCCTGTAACCTAATAAAATAATCCACATAAAGACGAAAATTCCACAGATTCAACACCTTTTTCTTGCTTCATATTGACTATTTAGCGCAGCACGAACCCGATGTTATTAAACCATTATGAAAAATTCAAAATTCCATAATTCTGTCAAAAATCAATGAAGCGAAACGAAATTCAAACTTGATCTGTAACTCATCAAGATACACTAACATACCAAAATCAGCTTAATATATGCAAGTAGTGTTTAGCAAAAAAAGTGCGTAAAACCAAATAGGACAGACTGACAGACAGACGGGGACAGCTAGACAGACGGAAGGACAGCTAGACAGATGGACGGACAGACGCAGAGGAAACCTTTAGTCCCCTCCGGTTTCACCGGTAGGGGACTAAGAACATTGTCGGACGTCATGAAACTAAACGGCGCCGGCGTCGGGTGATCATATAATGTCGTTTTTATCTTATAATGATTTGGGAAATAATGAACGTATGAAACTAAATTTTTCTTGAAAACATTTCTTTCCTTTTTTCATGTTCCTTATAAATTTTGTAAGCTCAGACAACATAGTACTAATTTTACAGCCTCAGTCCACGAACTTTTTGATAACCCCTTGTATACTGAAAGTGAGAAGCTAATCTGGACATAACATTTAATGTTTCAGATATAAGCATTATATTTTTAATTGTTTTTAACTAAACCTTAAAATAGGAAAATGACAAAAATGAAAAAAAAATCATAGAATAAAATTCTAGATATTTGCTCTAGTTTTGTCAAACCTAAGTTATCTTTCGTCATATTTTAAACAAGAATGCACATTAATAAGTACCTTTGAATAAGATTTTCTATAAAACTTAAATATTTGAACCCCGCTCTTGCTATTTGGTCCTCATCATCCTTTTGTTTCTGAAGAAAAGCAAAGCTGTTGCCAGTTTCGGGAATAGCTAAGGGGAAAAAGAGATGAAAAATTATAAATAAACTTCAGGAAATACTCTGAAAGTTATCTTCTGTTTTATTTCTATTACCTTCTATACGTTATCATTTTAATTTTCGTCACTATAATTATTATCTATGCTGTTTTGCGTAGATTTTCAATAATAGAATTAAAGTAGAAGGGACCTTTAAAAATAGATTAAATTTCCTTGAGAACTTCAGCTGTTAAAATCACAAATTATGCTTATTTTGAAACTTACTGTCATTGCCTGCTCCGAAATCACGTTGAGGCTCTAAGTATGTGTCTTGAATTGCGTCAGCAATGATGTCATCAACCTCTACACAACGTACCACGTAAACGTATGAGAGACACGTGACCAGCAGATATATCTGCATAAACCCCATGTTGAATTTCATCTATTAATGAATGAAAAGATGAAAAATTATTTATTTCTATCAATTAATTTACACACAATGATGGATTATACATATTGAAAAAGTTCTTTTAATGCTACATGTTTACTATGATATTAATAATGATAGCAATTTGTTGATAACATCACGATTCTTAAACAATGTTTGCTCTCTTGACAATTTTAGTTTAGAATTGTTTCAAAAGTCTTTTAATCAATTACAAAGAAAATCCTAAACAACAAATATATCCTTCCGTATCCGATCTTCGTCACCAGATTGAAAACGGTAAAGACTTAAGCTTCGTGTTACTCTCCAAAATATTTCTGAGATGTTTTTGCTTTTTTCGATTGATAATAAACATTTTTTGTAGCACAACAACAGTTTCTTGTTATTTGGCTAATATACCACTGTTAAAGAGAATGTGCCTTACATTTTTCCCTTTTTATTTATTACTTTTTTTATTTATTTATTTATTTTTGTTGTTGGTGACTTTGATTCTTAAAAAATAATGCTAAATAAAGATTTAAACAATATTATTCTAAGTATCAAAAAGAGGAAATATAACGTGTGTGTGTGTTTTTTTGCATTTTATTTGTTTGGAACATGTTGAACATTAGGACCAAGAAAAACAAAAAGTTGCAGGCGTATCTTATATAAAGTTTCATATAAAACATCTAGCTTTGACCTTCATTGATATTTATATCATTTGAAAATAAGCATGAAAAGGCATGTATCGTTGATATCGATTAATTCATAGCGAACAAAAGAAAATTTGCTTACTGGATATTACGTGAAATCTTATGTGTAATTTTCATTTGATAATGATATATGTTTAAACTTAACTGTCATCATATCTCGTTGTTTAATTGTGTTTTCTAAGTGTGCAGAACCCATTGACAAACAACCCTGTTTCAAGAAGTTATCCGAGTAAGGATAGTGATGGAGTTAGGGTAAGGCGATACAAAGCAAAGGAAACATCAAAATATACGTGATAAATAGAGGATAATACCCTTTTCTATATCACACCCTGTTTCAGTTCGAGAAACCAATAACAGCTAGAGTGCTGATGGGTATTGATCGACTGTTGATACAGATTGTGATGAGGATTTGATGTTTTATTATGCTGAGTAAATACTAAGTAATACAATAAAACACATCAGTTTGAGAAAAAGCAAAAATGCACTTACAACCGACACGTACGTAGCCTACTGTATCAAAGTACAGAAATGTAAAATTCAATGTTAAGAACATGCCCCCCCCCCCCTTTCAAAGAAAGATATGTATCATCACAAATCCTGTTTTTAATTTTGTATTTACATTAGAAGTGTGATATTGATTCATATACCTAGTAGAGTATCAACCCTGATACGGGCGTTTTGGACTAGGTGAGACAACATCTGTAAAGTAGGGCTGTCTCACCCTCAGGGCTGAGATATATTTGTCTCAATCCATTGTCAAGGGGCTATATCGCCCTTAAATTTGAATTCATCAGTTTTGTTTAATTCGTGGAAAGATAATGGAATTTATATTAAAGTGTTCAAAGAAAATGTTTTCTACACTAAAATTAGACTTGAATCTTTAAAAAAATAATAAATGAGAGACATTTTTTTAAATGTGCCAAATCTTGGTATTTGTGACGGAAGAAAATTGACACTATTTTGTAACTCTACTTGAACATTTTACTTTAAAAGACTTTAATGGTAATCTAACAGACAAACTCTTTGATAAACGTGATGACTTTAACTTTTGTATCGTCAACTTCCCTTACTTATGCAGCAATATACCTTTAGCACCTGCATACGGAGTCTATATCTCTCAGTTGATTCGATACGCAAGACCATGCTCTACGCATGAACAATTTCTAAAACAAGGCAAAATATTGAAAACAAGTTGACGGAACAGAAATATCAGCAGTCCTTTTAAAGTCATTATTTCGTACGTTCTGTGGTCGATACAATGACCATGTCAGCAAATACAATATTATCATTAAGTCAAATGCTGACTGAAAGTTTTTTATACTAATTGTCAGTTAATTATTTATTCACTATATTTACGACGGATTTTCCCGTTATATCCTCATCATAATAAGGAACACACGGCGGGTATGACCGGTAGGCAGGGGACGGTCACTCCTCCATAGCACCTGATCCCACCTCTGATGTTTTAGAGGTTTGTGTTCGCTCTGCTACTATTTTTCTATTGTTTTAAGGACTTTGATATTGAATACTGTTCGTTTTCTCCATATCCTTTTCTTAGAAAGACAAAACATCGCATATCTAAAAGAAATGGAATTGTATTTTCTCTGAAAATAAGACAGTACAAAGTTTTCTTTTAATAACAAATGACACAAACAAGTCAAAAAATTTGAAAATAACAACTCGGGTCATGTTTAAATGAGTCAAAGAATAAGTTTGACCGCATAGTTTTTTTTTTTCCAAAGTTTCACTAAAATGAGATTTAAAGTGAAAAATATTTCTAGAGATTAATAAAGATGACGTCAGAGAGGTAGAATTTTGAACATGACAGTAGGTTTACAATTTCGTTTTATTCTAAAAATGTATTTTTTGTATCATTTACAAAAAAAATTAGGCAAAAAAAATAGAAACCAATCTATGCATCCAATTTTTGTGTCATCTGTCGTTAATAACAACATTTAGTTAAAACGTATCGCTAGCAAATCTAACAGATTCTAAAAATCTCAGACCTATATGATGTAACGATTCATTGAAAAATTGTAACTGAGATGCATATCATCTAAATTTTACTTAAATTTATCATTTGAAACCAGGTTATTAAAATGTGCGAAAAAGATGGACGAACAGGATAAACGCCTAAAGCTCGACAAATATGAAGGTGATAAATTAAATCTCAATTATATCAAAATTGTCTGTAATATATCATTTACCATTCAAGTTTATTCTATTTAAAATCTGTAAAACTTAAAAAAGTCTACATGTTTGGTTAATTACGGAGGAAGACACACTTTACCTTGAAAATATTTTTTTTACATAACTTTCGTATCTTTTCGAGAAGAATATGATGTCCTACAAGTCAATTGCCATCTCATAAACATGATTTTTTTTTTCAAATGCCATCCTTATCAGGACTTGTGTAACATAATCTTTAGCGTGCTAGTCTGAAAAGAAAATGCTACTCAAGATTTTTATTGATAATGTTCAAACCCAATTTATACCACCTTTTTCTTCAGAAAATGCATGTTAACGAAAAGAGTATTTCCTGAGAAAAAAGATTCTTAATCATGATTTCATTAATATTAATGATGAGAACTTTATTCTTCATATTTAATTCATGTTTTTTTTATATCTGAAGCTAGTTGGCTTTATAAGACTTTTAAGCAAATTAAGTTCGCAGATCTCCGTTTTTCTCAATCTCTTTATGTGCTTTTAAGATAGACAAATCATTTTGAAATGCAATGTGCAAATATACATTACAGTTTCAAAAAACACTAACAAGCAAACACTGACTATAAAACGATGATAGTACAATGTATCAAAAGAATGACATTAAACCATAATAAAGTAAAATTTTTGTGATGTTAAAAGCCAAGAGTTCATGCTTCATATGTCTTCATGAAAAAAAATCTATAATTTTTATAACCGTTGTTGGGTGATTTTTTGAAAATTAGGAAAAGCTTAAAGGTAATCAAACATTTATAGAAGTATGATTTCTTTCATAAATAATCAGATTTCTTATTTTCATTTAATTATTTAGGTTTTTGAAATGACATTTGAGATTATTTTTGCCTTAGTTTCCTATAATCAAATTTAAAAGAACGGAGACAAAAAACATTTCTAAATAAGAAAAAAATAAAACATTATAAATAAAAGAGTGAAATTG